GTAAAAAACCCAAAAACACCAAAAACAAAAAAAAAAAGAAAGAAAAAAAAGAAAAAAAAAAGAAAAATGACAGGAAAAAAAATGAAAAAAACAACAAAATACCCAAGAAAAGAATAAAAAAAGGGGGGGTGGAGGGAGATTTGAAGAAATAGAGTCAAAAACTGGTGGGGGAATAGGTTATCTTTGGCTGTGCTCACTAATGCGCTATCCTCACTTGCATTTCACTACTGAATTTCATCTTTCTTTTCTCAATATTATTATATTTTTTAAATCTTTCTTCTGTCACTGCTCCAACCCCTTCAAGTTTATTCTTTCATGGATTCATGAGAGGGTGGGGTTTCATTCTCATGCTATGAGATTTCTCTTTTCTTTTTCTCTCTCCCTCTCTCTTGCTTACAAGTCTAAAAGAATCTTTTAAACCAACAAATAAAAAGAATATTTATTTTGGAACAGCAGGGAAGGGGGGAGGAGAAGGCAATCATTTGGGAGGGAAGGGACACTGTGGGGTTATGGGAGGGGGGGACGAGGGAGCTTATCAAAAACAAAGGCACATTTGCAAGTTGCCTTTTTCCACCTTCAGGAGTTTGCAAGCTGTTTTTCCTGTATGAATGGGGGTGTGTGTGTGTGTGTGTGTGCAGCGCATCTCTGTGTGTGTATGTGCGCATGTATGTAGGTATGGATGTGTGTGTGCAAGCATGTTTTCTGGGGAGGGAAGCTGGGGAGGGGGGTTTTGTAATGTCTTTTGTAGAAAGAGAACACAGATGACATTTAACTGGCAGTGTTTTGGGGGGAATAGCAGGGTTTTGTTTGCTCATTGCAACTTTGAGAGGTTGGAGGACAGAGTCCCAGCTGGTATTAGAGAAACAGAGCTGGGAAAATAGATTGTGAAAATATATATACTGGCTGAGGAAAGAGAGGGCTTTGCAGATCAGCAATGGGACAGTGCTGCTGTCCACCGCTGGCATCTGATCTCTAGTAGACTAAGCTGATTCAGTCCTGAAAGGAGGGGTTGTTCCTAATCATTCCCATCCTGCATCTTTTCTTATGGAGTTCGTGGAAAAAAGTAGTTTCAGGACCCTGAAAACTCAACCCTTCCCCCCTTCTACCCGTTCCTTGTGCCTGACAAGGGACTTCACACTCCAGCCCACTGAGTGACCATAGCCTACAGCAAGGTGCTGGAAAGGGTGGGTGTCATTTAATTTTGTTGTACTTCAGGATGAAAAAATCCAGAAATTATAACTATCCCCTCTCCTAAGAAGTTCAGAAGCAAATGGTGGGCTGGTGCCTTCTGATCTGTGCTGCTTCTATCAGGCCTTGCTTTATGTCTGTTAACACATGCAGAGTGTAGAGAAGAGCACCCTGTGTCCCTTCTTGCAGAAGATGTAACTAAGGATGCAGTAGATTTCCATGGAGCATCATCCCGCTGGAAGATGATGGTCTTCAAAGACTGGGCAGGGTGAAGGTTGCAATGAAAAATGCTGAACTTGTCAGTGCTTGTGGAGTCCCTAAGTCTATAGCAGCTTCCATCCACAGGTACTCATTATAAAGGTACAGAAGGGTAACTTGGTCTTGGACAGCAAGGTCAACTTTTTCCAAAGCAGCCAGTGACTTTCAGGAATATCACAGAATTATTGGCCACTTTGGCAATCACTTATGATTGATAATCTCCCTTACAATATTAATAAAAGCCATGAAAATAATAAACTCACAAGTGCAAAACTTTAACCCTAGGGTCATTCTGCCATTCCTGGAGTAAGGATGAGGACCTTGTTCTTACCTGATGGAGGTTTTTACATGCCAGACACACAGACACACATATACTGCCTTGAATTCAACCATCCCTTTATTCTCCTTCTAGCATTCTCTTTCTTTTTCCTTCATTCCCATTGCTTGAGAGAGCAGAGTGAGACCAAGAAAACTCCTGTTTTTCAGATGACAAGTACATCTAATGCACATCTTTGAATTCACTAATTTATCTCTGTACAGTTCTACGAAAATGTGAATCATTATAGTCCTGACCTAGTAACACTGAAGTCATGGAAAGTTTTGCCTTGACTTGGATGAAGCAGGATCAGGGCTCATCAGAGTAACAAGTATTGTTATTTTTATATCAGTAATGTGTCTTATGCATTTTCTACTAATAGAATCCTAAGCATAAAAGTAGAGCATCCATCCTTCTCAATCACCCCCCATCTCTGTCTCCCTCTCCCATGTTCATGCAGGCACACATTCAGTCCAGGCTTCCCTGGAATCACCAAGGTTTTAGCACAACTGTTAAATCAGACTTGGATTCACAGCTGCCCTGCAGAACAGTCTCTTGCTGGTTTCCAGATTCAAGAGCGATGCTGTTAAAAAAAGGTTTTCCCAATGTTATTGCAGTTTATGGTCTAGATGGGTCTGTATAGGAATAAGAGTCTGAAGAGTGAATGGAGCTGGATGATAGGGCTAGTGCTGGACTGGGTAATTTTGTCTACGCGATATGCAGGAATTTAAAGCTTGGCCAATAGAGAAAGTTACGCTTCCAAGTGGGATTCTATTTGGAAATGGCTTTTAAATATTTAAAATCATAAAGTTGTGTTTTACGACATCAGCAGTATAATGTAGGTGGATATATGCATGTCAGATGACTGCAGTTCCCAGATGGAGGCTGCCTATCAGCATGTTCAGTTTTTAAGGGGAGTCTACCCAGCTGATTGATGATTAAATAGAATTTTTAAACACTTACCCTTTACGTATGTGATTGCAATGTAAAGGGTGGTCAGAAAAATAGAAGGGAAAAAAAGAGGCAGTTATAAGAAGCCTATTAAGATTGGAGGGAGAACAAATGACTGTGTGGCAAGAAATTATGAAGCTGAGAGAGATCACTCAGGAAATCCAGCAATTTGATATTTGTAGTAAAAGCCTGACAAATACATGGCAGGTGTTAGGCACCTGAGAGCCCTCTCAGCTGGTCCCAAAGACTGAGAGGGGCAGTGGCACACAGATGATGAAAAACCTCTTTGCTGCTCAGATGCTGAGCCCCACACAGAATGGGGTCCTGACAAACCCCATCCAGTGCCCTGCAGGTACAGCCCAGGGCCTCCAGCACCTGGAGATGAGGCACAGGGTGTGTGTGTGTGTGGGGGGGGGCTGTGTTTAATATTTGAGGCTTCAATCAGTGATTGAGCCCCGAATTTCATAGCGACAATCCAAAAGCTTTCCAGGGAAAAAGCAGTAGCCAGCTGATTTCTTCACCTGCTGGGACTGGGATCCAGACTTCTTTGCTATTGCTTTGGTTCTCTGTTGGCTGGGTTCTCTTTCTTATCAGTAGTCATCCTAGTGTCTCTCTTTGAATGTCTCTGACCTGGTATTACCAGGTCAGTTTTACTTCATAGGTCAGTCTTAGTATATCCAGACATCTGGACTATTTGGTCCTACACAATAATCTTTGCCAAAGAGTGTGCGGTCAGGACTTTTCACAGTTCAGGAACTGCCTTACAATTTCTGGTGATGGGGCAGAATGCTGGAGAACAACTGAGTGTCCTGTGAGATGGATGAGTAATAGAATATATGTTCCCATATAGGGGTGAGGGAAGAAGGGTGAAGGCCTTTAGAAATGCCCTCCTCCAGACGTGAGGTGGCACCTCCACTTTCCCCCTCCATAGCTGTCTGTGTTTACCCCTAAGAAAGGCAACAAACCCATGTCTAGTTTTGAGGTCCAGTGATGTAGAAAGGGGATAGAGAAAAAAAGGCATTTCAATCATACTCAAGGCTCAGAGGTTTCAAGCCATCACAAGCATGAGGAAAGGCAAGGCATGAACCAGTGGATATAAAGCTTGTGTTATTGGAAAGTTGGAGGAGATTTCCGTGCTGCAGCTTCTGTGGCTGCTGCTGCCCACCTTTTCTTCGTGAAGGGAGAGCAGTGGGGAAGGGGGAAGAAAGATTGTGAGTGCTGTTCCAAAGTCGAGCTTCTTCTGACTTTAGCAGCAGTGGTGCAGGAGGCAATTCTTATTGGGGCTTGGTTTGTTTGCAGCTTGAGGCAGGATTGCTGCTTGCTGGGTTGTGTTTTTCAGTTGAGACTGTAACACAAGCGTGAGGGATGCTCCACGCTGTCTGAGGGAGCTGGGCTGGGGGATAATGTTTTGCACCTTTCCCATGCACAACAGCCTAAGGCAGGTATGTGGAGGAGGAGAAGGAAGAGGAGAAATAGAAATGAAATCTCTCTCAGGATATACATGGCCAACGCAACTCTATTGCTTCATTTTCTGATACTGTCTAGTGCTGTCACTCAGGGACCTTTAGGAACTAGGACCTTGGGACTGTAATCCTACCTGTCTCCCTCCTGTCCTCCCTTCATCTTGAGTATTATGAACTGAGGAAAGAATGAGAGAAAAAGCAAAAGAGGAAAATAAGAGCCCTGTTAGCAAACTACTGTTATTCCATGGATGAAAGTAAAGCTTTGGTTACTAAGGTAAGGGGAAAATGTATACCTTTATATTCATGTCTTCAAGCATAAACCAGCCTGTAGTGTATATAGGATAAGTTCACAGTGCATGAAACAAACAGGACTGTAGGTCTTAACTGGCATCCAGCTTTCTTGCATGCACATCTGACACCACGCCAGCAGCTTATGTCTTGCAAATAAGGGAACCTGCCAAGGCTTGGCACTTCCTCTGTCCAATGGACAGCACATCCACCTCCCAGAAACAGCCATGCGGGGAACTGATCCGCCCAGTCTGTTTGACCAGATCTGCTCCAGAGGCTCTGGCAGGAGCAGATAAGGGGTGGGGGAGGGAGTTGGTTTTGTTTTCTTTTTTGTGGGGAGCAGGAAGGGCTTTTAAATCTCTGAGCTATTATCAAGCTGAAGAGTAACCTCTGGAGCTGAAGACCAAAAGACAGTGGCTTTAGGGAAGGTGGTTACTGAAATCCTAGTGGAGAGGATGGGATGA